AGGAAAGAGTCAGTGCAGTCCTTGTGAGTACACAGCAGCACGGCAGAATTGCAAAACTTGATTCCTCCCACCTTGTAAACACTATCCTTTTAACTTTCTGACCTTGTCTTGTGGTGTGCAATAGTTAGCATAACCTTTCCAAATGGGCATCCTGGAAAAGCATGACCGATATCCAGGAACTGGCTAGAACAACATTGCCACCTAGTTGTGAGGTTGGTGGTACAATTCTCCCTTGTGGAAAGATAAGATTGCATCGTCCTGCATCAATGGAAATACGCACGCTTCTCCAAGTGTATGGCACAAGTATTTAATACGCCCGCAACTCCTTGTATAGTACCGAGGACTGCACAATGTCAGCAATTCCGCGTTAAGCACAGCAAAAATTAAGTCACCTGAGCATGTCATCCTCAGGTGTGGATTGACTTTCTAATGCTCTTTCACTAGAACATTTGATCCTATGATCTATTATTTTATGATACTCAGTTTCATTCTATATCATGAGTCACAAAGAAAACAGTGATTCCAGGGGGAACCAGCTTGAATTCCCGTTCCTGAATATACTTTCTCATTTGTTGCTGATACATACAGATATACATACAGATACATACAGATATATATAGGACTTAAAAAAAAAGTGAGTTTGTACAGTAGTCCTTATGATGGTAAAAACTGGTTTTCATGCCCATGGAAAAGTTAGATAAGTTTGTCATTTTCACAGTTTTCCTTTAGTGCTGGATCTCACCCCTTCTTTGGCAAAGAGGATGTATTTGTGGCAAATACATTGTATGCAAAATAAAGAAACTGCAGATATTTTTCCATTTTGAGAAAAGTATTGAACAGAAGTCACAGAATTCTGGGTGCAGAATTTAGGTGGTTTCTATGGGAACTTCATCTCCACCGCAAAGAAAAAAAAAGTTTTCAAATTTTAATGCAAATAATTGTTGAGACACTTATTTATATTTTTCCTTTGTTTTTAGACTTTTAAAATCTTGTTTAGAAACAGGTCCTTTGTCTTTTTATTATCTTTTGAAGTTTTTGGTACTATTTTATGATGGGGAGGGGCAATACATGCCTTTCATTGGAGAATCTATGTATAACGGTGGATAAATACTCCACTTTTAAAAAAATTTTAAAGTGGGAAAGTTGGACTTGGAGATTCTCTTCGGAGTACTGATTTCCAGTAAGAAAACTGACATTAATTTCTGTGCAAAGACGTTTATATCTGTATGTATCAGCAACAAATGAGAAAGTATATTCAGGAATGGGAATTCAAGCTGGTTCCCCCTGGAATCACTGTTTTCTTTGTGACTCATTATATAGAATGAAACTATCATAAAATAATAGATCATAGGATCAAATGTTCTAGTGAAAGAGCATTAGAAAGTCAATTTTACAGCATGACTAAAATTAAATGTATATTGTATATAAACATTGATCAAATGTCGAGATGCACTCATAGAAACTGCAGGAGGGTCACATGTGGCCTCCAAAAGTATTGGGCCCCCACCAAGAGGCACCCAAAAACTGTTACCTTGTAATTTTGAACATAAGAAAAGAAATATAGAAGTCAAATCTCTCTCAGGTCAGTTTGACTTTTGGTCTTCATGGACAAAGAGTTTTCTTGAATGGAGGGGGGTTGAAAACATAGATGTTAGCTTTCCAAGCAAAAAGAATGTCTCTCTATTAAAGCCAAAATGCTTCTTACTCAAGAAAAACAACAACAACCTGGTTTGCTCAGACTGTCCTCTCCCCTTTTCTTCTGGTCTTGGGGGCTATTTCTGAATCCACAGTCAGTAATAGGTGAATCAATGGTATGTTTGGGGGTGTTGAGAGACATGGACACAACCCAGCCTCTTCCTCAACTATTTATCTCCCAGCCTTTGTCCTCTTTGGGACTTGGATTTCTTTCAGACTTTCACTTCCCCATCCTTCCTTTCTGTTCTTGACATCAGCTTCTCTTCAGGTTCCAAGTAGAGCCAAGCAACCTTATTTCATTTGGGGTAAAAGGGAGGAGTGCTTGTGCTAATTTCCCTGTCTTAGTGGTTTTCAATCAATTCCCTCCCTTAGTAACAAATCTAAGCAGTTAGTCAGTTTCAGTTATTCCATTCTTCAGGACCCAGTGGCTGAACCATCATGGTAGGTCTGCCTCAATTCTCTGAGTGGCTATTTCTCCTATAAAAAAGTAATCCCTGAAAATAATCTATTAGAGCTAGTAGGCCTGGACTCCAAACATCTGGATGAACACTAAATGGTTGAGAAGAGATATAGAAAATGCTAGCTCTTTGTTGCCATCTGCTTGTTGTCCATACCTTTGCAATGCAAATCTAGAAGCCCTGTCCTCTTTATTTTTTTCTAACTCTAACAAATCATTAACAGATGCAGGCAAAAGTTGTTAACAGGGTCAATTCAATTTTTAAAAACACCCTATGGAATAGAAAGTTGAATTGTAAATCATCTTAAAGATAGAAACCATGAACAAGCTCTAGCATTTCCTGAGTTTATCCCTGTGAAATTCCTCAGCCATCAAAAATTAGACTGCACAGTGGGAGCAATTAAAATGCCTTTATCTTAAACCAAAAGATGGAAATCACTTCTCAGGAATCCAACTTAATGCACCTGTGAGGAAGCCTAGGCTATCTGAAGCTTCCTGTGTGTCATAGATAAAATCCCTTCAGGGATAATACATTCAAACAGAAGGTCCTGTGCTAAAATGGATAAGAGAATCTTCAGGTGGGAGTAATAGGAGCCACTCATTCATCTAACCAAAGCTTATGTAAATAGAACTGGGGAAACAGAACGAGCCAAGTAGCGTGTCTGGAAACTACAGAATATTTTCTAGCCGTTAAGTTTCTTGGAGAGGATTAAAAACAAAACTTTATTTTTGGGGTAGGCAGGAGGTAAGCATTGCAGCAAAGACCTATATTCTCCTAACTGATGATATGGCTTGAGGTTGTATGTAGCTCGGTGGCCTAAGAAGTTGGCAGTTCAAAAATTTAAAGTTTAGGAGAAAGATACAACTATTGTCATCAAGGTTGGCTGGTTAGATCATTATTATGTGACCCCATTGACATCCTTATTTAATCAACTCTACTGTATTTTATTCATGAAAGACCGTGAAGAACTTCTGAAAGATGTTGGGATGGAAGTGTACTTCTAATTCTTATTCTCATGACAGAATTACACATAATCCCAGTTTGAACATTGCAAGTATGTATGTATGTATGTATGTATGTATATATATATGTATGGAAATCGTAGACAAGTAGGAGAATTAATAATTTAGAAAAGCTTACTGCTTATCAAGTTTTTTTTTCACCATTTGAAAACTTGGATTGCCTAGAATTGCAAAAAAGCACTGTGTTCAGTTTAAACATTTCTAGATTTCCCAATTCAGTCCAGATATATTAGCAGCATCAACATTGCCAAATAACTCTCTGGTTGAGTCTAAGGTTATAATTCTTAGAATTTACTCTAGTAGATTATAGTGGGTTATTTGGGCATTTGTTAGTTGCAAGAACTCTGGAACAAAGAATTGGAATATCGCATTAATCAAAGGTTAAAGAATATTAAGCATGCTTCTGCTGAGGCTAATTCAACAAAAGAATTATGTTTTTCATGTTTATTGAACACCTCAGAGAATATTTTTTTAAAGTTGGCAGTCAACCCCATTATTTTGAAAGCATAATATTGGTGACTTAATATAATATGGGCGTTTCCCATTATTACTGTTTTGATTGAATTTTAATGTGTGTGAATCTGACTCCTATCTCCAAGACAAACCTTATCCCAAAGCTGTTTTTTTCTCCCTTTCATCCCTGAAGGTCCTATAATCACTCTAAATTTCACCTATTTCAAAATCCTCCTATTCTCACTTGTTCTGGCTTTGCTCCACATTAAAGAGCTAAACTCACTCTCTGCCCAACTCATATCATCTTCAGTTGACAAAGGGTGGCAGGAAGACGTTTTTCATGCACAAGAGAGGAACTTACTAATACAGCTGACTCAATTCTGTGTAAGCAAGGGGAAATGATAAGAGCTGCTGAGAATTTTTTTAGGATGGGGATTTTTCAAAATTTAGCAGATTTGGACATATTTCTGTTGGGAAAATATGGCAGAATCTAATCTTGAAACTGAAAACAAGCACTAACGCAACTAGTTATCTTCTAGCTGGAATTTCTATAGCAAACGCACGGCCATTTTAAACATTTTGTTTTACTATTGGTTTTAAATTTGATTATAAACCATTGTGGAATATTTTATGGGAAACCATATATAAATGCTTTCAATAAAAGGACATGAATGAGAGGTACAGATAATTAGGCTGTCACATTCACAAACTAAGAGCTGTACAGTTGTAGTACTTCACTGCACTCATTGGATTTTAAACATATTTTTGTCAGTCAGACTTTATATGGTTGTTAGTTTTTATTTTTAAAAAAATAATGGGGAAATTAGGAGTTTGCAGAAGAAAGAACCCATCTCAAGCAGAACCTTTATTTCCAAGAACGTCTCAAGAATCCCAGAAGGGTGCTTGGGAAATCAGATCAAGTCACATCAGTTCTGGCATTCATTTTCTAAGAATGCTTACCACAATCTGGACCAAAAAGATTGGAAACCTTCTTCCTTTTATTTGTGGCTAAATGATAGGGCTACAATGTTTGGACTGCAGAGATCTGAACCACCAGTAGACAGCAGTGAAGTCCTTTCTGTATATCTTTGCTGCCATTCAGTTTTTTTTTTTTTTAAATCTGCGCTGAGTCGTTACCGACTCTGCAGTGACTGCTTGGACGAGTCCTTGCAGTTTTCAAGGCAATTGT